CATTGTGAGCTGCTGTCCTGGTGAAAAATGTCAGCTTCACTGCGTATAGAACAGCGAAAGACTCACCGCGAGCTTTGGGATGGAGAAGAATCTTGTGTAATTTGATTTTGGGGGCGCTTGCATTATACGGAAGCCGGAAACAGAGCCCCGATGAGACGTCCTTTAGGACCTCCGCCAGGAATCCCTTCCACATTGGGCTGGCTAACGACATCTAACATGCATCGAACTGTGTGAGAGGAAGATACGTATCAAATTAAGTGATTCACTTGTTTGAGGTCCAGCTCGTATGCATGTCGTTCATGCTTGTCGGATGACCGAGTACTTCGCGACTTAAGCGCCTCCACTTCTCGGTCGTTCAGCGGCAAACCTATGGTGCCCAAAGCGGGGTGCCTGAGCACCGGATTGGGAGCACCTGGGTATTCTTTGCGAAACGAGAAGGAAGTGCGACTAAATCTGTTGTAGTCGAACGCGTCTTTCTTGTCACATAACAGGTGCTCGAACTGGTCCTGCAAATTCGCTACGTGTCAACAGCCGAACCACGTTTGCATCGCGCCAAGGTCCCAGACTTACCCTTATACTTCGCGGCTCGATCTGTGTTTTCTTTTGAGACTCTATAACAGTAGACCTGTATCGAGACATGGAAGTGGAGGACCTCGCGTCACGCTAACATGCGTTACGTCACGTGTTTCATTTGTGACATAACGCGATCCTGAAGCACCATAATTTTTCTCTCCGAAAATCCGCAGATAGGTAAAGGAGTAGCGACACACAAATCTGATCACAGATACATTGAGATCACACAAGATGTTAGATTAATCCAGAATAAAAAGTATAGCAGATAAGGTAGCAGCTCAAAATGCTTATAGCTTTCGCCTTTTTGTTGGAGGACCAGAGCCCTCGCCTCCGGCCTTCAACCCAGCATGGGCTCGCTTAGCAAGCGTGTCTACATCACTAGCATCTTCCCATGATGGCGATAGCTGTTCCAACATAGACGGGACGACCCTGTCATATACATCCGCTAGCATGTCCTTCTGCGCCGCCTCATTCTCTCCAAGGTTGGACAAGACCTCCTTACCCCTGGACCTCTCAGATCGCCACACGACAGGCTTTGCGAGCGGCTCTTTCTTGAAGATCTATTGAACGTATCAGCGTTATTTCAGACCCACTATGGGCCATTTTCACATACCTTGCAGCTCTGCCGCATCCCTGGCTCCCAAAGGGTTTGGCACATCGCTAGCGCGCTCGCATGTGCTGCCACCTCCTGCTCAACATGTTTACGCACGGGTGCGCCGATATAATCGAGCATGAGCTCCGTGTTGCCGTATCCGCGTAGAAATTTGCGTGCGCGTGTGCAAGGCGCGCAATCACAGGTCCATTTGGAGAGGAGGCGGAGCGCTCCCGTGATCGCAGAGTCTAGTACAGGCTGAGGGCCGAGTACTTTCTCATGCCAAGCGGAGACGATAGCTTGTATAGTTGGCTTTATACTGGTGAGATGGTCGTGGCGCACCGCCCAGGCTTTGAGTTCCGGAAGGAGAGGGACGAGGACAGTCGAAATCTCCGCTACCGTGCAATTGGAAGTATCACGGAGGCGAAGGAGAATCATGGAGACGACTTCGGGCAATTCGAGTGAGCTACACCAATTCAGTGTGTCCATTATCACGGGTATGGTGTTGAGGACGATGAGCGACGCGTATCGCTTGGCGAAAGACAAAATGAAGCCCGTCAGAACCTCCTTGCCCACAACCGTCCTAGCTATAAGGTCTTCTTGTCTGCCGTGAAGCTCATCTACAAATGCTCGTAGGTCCAGTGTATTGAGGGTGATCGACTCCAGCGTGGAGAAGATGCTGAATAGACAGTATTCAGATTCTGAACAAATCGTCTGCCCGTTTACTTACCTTGAAAACTCTGCACCAGGCTCCGCGGAAATAACAATGGCATCCAAGAAACTCTTCACATGTTCTTCCTTCTGTTGATGAAGACCGCTGGCTCGATGCTTCAACCTGTCGATGTACAATCGAACAGTAATATCCATGAAGTCCTTTAAACCGCTAACCGCCGTGCCACACTCTCTGACCTGTTCCAAACAATGTACAAGCAGTGGCAACATGACCGTCACCGCATACTCTCCTGCGTCGTCCTTAATGCGCGGAAGATGGTTTTCTACCACACGGAGTATTGAAGACACTAGAACGGCGCATTTGGTGTCGAAAAGCCCGGCGACGAAGCGTCTGGTGGTTCCTACATCCTTTTCATTGACGAAAGATGTCTTGGAGATGGCGGTAAAAAGTAAATCATGTAAAACGAAGCCCTTTTCGTCACAGTCTAGAAAGCGTCCGTCCCGGAAGAGCGCGAGTGCGAAGTTGAGCAGGAAATCGCCATCGGCTGTGTCGTAAAGGTTTTGCAAAGTACTAGCGTAGACATGCATTAGCTTCCTGAGGTCCAGAACGCATCTCATCTCACCTCTCTTTTACAAACACGATACCGCCGCGTTCGAACGCAGTGTCGAGAAGAGACTGGATATCTTCGCGCGCAAGGTTTTGCAACGACGCCATCACTTTGCAAACCTGCTCCGCTGTCCACCGTTCCACGTCGCCCGATTGGTTCGCCGACATACGCACGAGAGAAATAAGCCCCAATCTCCGGCTGGTGCTACTATCATCTTTGAGCATACGCTCAAAACTGAAAAATGTCTGTCAGTGCTAGGAAAGTGGCCATCTGACGAAGTGACATACCCGGGACGGACCGCACCAAAGCCAAGCTTCTCCATCGCTCGAAGTTTGAGTTGGTCTGGTATCAAACCAAGACATTCCTCGCCGTTGCAAGTCGCGACCGCTTGGTCCCATAGCGTAAGGTTTCCCCACGTACATGCCGCCTCCGCAGTAAGTTCAGTAGCACGCGACCGGTCGTGTCCGCGATTCCTGAGTATATATTCCGCGAGTGGTACATTATCAACTGGCCCGCGCAGAATATGCTCGAAATCGCTGCACGCCCGAGCGAACCCCTCTTTGCCGGTGTATATCATCGATCGGGACGAGCCACGCGGCCAGAGAACGAGAAGCAGTCGGCTGAAGTCTGCACCAGATGATGCTGAGTGAAGTAGACCCGAGAATCACGCATTCTACTCACCTCGTACCACATATCCCCAATCCTGATGGCAAGTACGTGAGAACCCCATCGCGATAAGGGACATGGGACCTCACGTACCTTGCCTGTGTCAACCTCAACTGAAGAGCGAATGTCTTCATCGACCCATTGCCCTTTGGAAATCTTATTCATGAGGTCGCTCGGTATTTGCTCGCTCCCGTACTCATTATACGGCAAATCCTTTACAATGACTTTGCCGTTGACATCGCGCAGGGGCCCCAAACTCGGCCACGTCTCGTGCTTATGGTAGTCCCACTCGACGATATGAACACCTTTCTTGCCTGGTAAGCGTAGGTAGTTGGCGGCACAGGCCCAAGTAAGATGTGCGTCGGCGAAGCCAAGGCTGAAGTTGTGACGCTCGGCCGCAGCGCATAGGAGCCGGAACTTCCTCGCGTCCGGGCCATGAAGCGAGATTAAGTCGGAGGTTTTGTCTCTGGTTTTGGGTGCATCTCCAGGGACGATCGGTTCAAACACACCGGTTTCGTGGGAGGCTGTAGCAAGTTCTCCGCCCGAGTTACTGGCCTCTAATTCACCGTCATCATTCCCGGCGTTGCTGTCATGTTCCGCGTCGCTTCGAACATGATCAAGTAGATACATGACCTGCTCCGGTAAGCGCTTTCTTGCGGCATTCCGTTTCTTGTTCCGGTTGTCGTCCTGCTCTCCGTCCTCTCCGTCCTGCTCTCCGTCCTCTCCGTCCTGCTCTCCGTCCTCTTCGTCCTGCTCTCCATCCTGCTCTTCGTCCTGCTCTTCGTCCTGCTCTCCGTCCTGCTCTCCGTCCTGCTCTCCGTCCTGCTCTCCGTCCTGCTCTCCGTCCTGCTCTTCATCCAGCTCACCGTCTTGTTTATCTTTCTGTTGTTGCCGTTCACCGTTCCGTTCGTCGTCTCCCCAGGCTTGCAGGATACGCTCCAGACATGCAAGAGCAGCGTTGTAGGGAGGTGGCCGAGGAGGCGTAGAATCTGAGGAACAGACAAGATTGTACAGGAGCACCAGGCAGTGTCCCTCAGTGACACGGTCAATGTTGTGCTTCACGGGAGTGTACCATGCTGCCACAGAGGTAGTGAAGAGGCTGTGCGTATCGCTCTCGTGAACACCAGCCTCGCCTTCATGCTCAAAGTGGATGTTGCCTCCAGAAAATCGGGAGGGGAGCGTGATCATGAGCTTCGCAAATATTCGATCGTCGTTCGCTTTCCTAGGTATCACTCGCGTCAGACACAATCTGAAGCGAGTAGTATGGTTCTTACATTGACTGCAGGGGAATTCTATAAAGAAAACGATCATTATCTACTTCTAGAAGGAGCGTGGAGAAACATACCGAGCGCCCTTTCCCAGGAGAAACAGTGTGTCCAATTCGTAGCTCGGCTCGTCTCTTTCCACGTCAATGCCCAAGGCCTCATAAACGTCTTTGTAGACCGTCTCCAAAAATTCATTCCATGTTTCGCTAAGATATGTGAACTGAACGGCTGTTTAGATGTAACTGACAGAACGATGAATAGCACACTTACTGACGCCGGTGGAAGCTCCCACACATTCAAGCCATTAATGTTCGCGTCGTGTGATTCAGCCTCGTTCTGTATGCAATGTTCCTTGATGTCCTCGGCAACCTTGCTGCTCAAAGGGAGCCCGACGATATCGAAGCCGGGAATGGTAAGTACCGGGTTAGGAGCGTTGGGGTAGCCCTTGCTGAAGTAGAATAACGAGTTGAAGGTATTTTTGGAGCCTAATATTCGTTCTATGTTATCCTGGATACGGCAGATCAGTAAATACGGGTTCGCAAAACGTAGGGACGCGCCACGCACTCGAACCAGCTCAGGGTCGTCCCAGGAGGCATCTTCGCAGGCGGTAGGGAAATCTAGTGAGTAGGCTCATTGAATATGTGGCAAGACGTTATTTACCTTTGATATCAATGTCGTCAGCTGTAGCGTCGCTTCCAGACTCTGAAAACGATGGCTCTGAGCTGTCGGGCTCCATGGCGGTTGAGTTGGAAATCAGAAGCGCCAGGCGCGTCAGGCGCATCATCGGCAGCCTGGCACCTGCCACCGGCCCTTCGTTTTTTCTTTCTTTCTGTTCAGTTTGGACGTGAGATTTTGAGACACAGTACTCCCTCGATTTCACATTTAATCAACATTTTTAGCCCTTGTGGACTACCACGCATACCGGGCTTTGCTTCGCAACCTCTCAACAACCACCACGATGAGCGACTACGACGAAAGCGACGCGTATTCTGAGGACGACGAACACCCACGACGTGGCCGTCGCCACTCCCATTCCCGTGAAGACAACAAAGAAACGGGAAATATAAGAGTGAGCCGCTGTTATTTTCACTGTAGCTTCTGGGCTTATTATTGCGACAGAAAGACCTGGAGAATATCCTGACCAGCAGCACTTGGACCGGAACTTTGCGTTCTCTTTCCGTCAGATGTACCCTGACGCGCCCAACCCAGTGCTCAAACTGGACGGTCTCGGCACGATTGGCCTGCCCCTCAGCACTCGAGACGCAGAAGCGATCAAGTCGCGAGCGGTGCAGGCTCCATTCGGGATGGGCGAGCGCACAGTCGTAGACAAAACCGTACGAGATACCTGGGAGACGGATTCCAAGAAGGTATATCTCAGATTTTGACGCGTTAAACCGAGTGCTCACTTTGCTTACAGGTGAACTTCGCCAGCCCAAGGTGGGAAGCATTTATCCAAAGAGCAGTAGAGGACGTCTGTCAGACCCTCAACGTCAACTACAAAACAAGTCAACCTCGCTGTGAGCTTCATAAGCTGTTGCTATACGAGACTGGGTCGCAGTAAGTGTCATCGACATGGTCAACTATCCGAGCCTGACGTGCCGCACCTGTCTCGTACAGCTTCCTTCCCCACGTCGAGTAAGTCACCACTCCATTGTAGTTACGTGAAGCGCGTGTTCATAGGGCGCGAAGCACCGAAAAAGCAGACGGCATGTTTGCTACAATGATCGTCATCCTCCCCTCCGAGTATACGGGTGGCACCGCGCACCTCTCGCACAGCGGTCTCTCCATCGACTACGATTGCAGCGCGCTCAGCTTGGACCAAGTGACGGTGCTGGCCTGGTTTACGGATGTCACGCACGAGATCAAGCCCATTACCTCAGGTTATCGACTCGCGCTCTCCTACAACCTCATCCACACCACCCAGGCCCTGCGCCCCGCCGTCGCCCCAAACGTCGGGATTACAAGCAGACTCTCGAAGGTGCTTGAAGCGTGGCAGAAAGACGAGGGAGAAGACGCGCCCCAGAAACTCGTCTGCCTGCTCGACCACAAATACTCGCACGCTAACTTCCACGCGGGCGCGCTCAAGGGCGCCGACGCGCAGAAAGCCGCGGTGCTCAGCGCTCTTGCGGCGCAGCACAGCTTTGCGCTCGGGCTCGCGAACGTGCGCTGCCGCTTCGCGGGCTCAGCGGACGACGAGTTCGGGCGTGGCCGGTACGGGCGCGTTGGCTTTGAGGAGATCCAAGACCAGGAGGTGTGCGTGGAGCACCTCGTGGACATGCAGGGCACGCTCATTGCTCCCGTGCTCGAGTTTGACGAGGAGGAGGAGGGTGTTCCTGTCGAGCTTGTTGATGCAATTGACGACGGGTCGTGCGACAAGGAGGAGTATGAGGCATATACAGAAAATGTAAGGGCCCCTCTGATCGGGATGTATATGACCTAGGCTGACACGCCGCTAGGAAGCTGGATCACTCGCACGATGTAAGCATACTACCTGCTGTGTAGTCCAAATGCTCAGCGTGCCACTTTAGGGTATCGCCGCCCCGTGCTCGTCATATGGCCGCAGCGCAACTACGTGTCCGTGTTGTACGGCGGAAAAGCAGGCTTCGAGCGCGCATGCGCTGCCATCGAGGGCACGACGTCTAAGAAGCCGTCCGCTGAGGAGTGCGCACTCTTCGACGCCGTTCTCACGCATAGAGATGGCGACGTCACGCGCGGGGCGAAGGCATGCTGTAAAACCGCCTGCACATAGAAGGATGCGGCGTTGTGGGAGAAGGTTGTCGGGGTATATGTCAAGAAACTCGGGCTGAACGTCGTTCCCGACGAGACGAAGTTCGAGGCGGCCAAGGTTCTCACGTTTAAAAAAGTCAAAGCGGCGTATGTCTTCTCTGCGGTATCTTCCCGCGTTTGTCCGAACTGACCCGCTGGACGAGGTTCGAATGCATGCTTAGCGCCGATAAACGCAACGCTGCGCGGCTCGATTTCCTTGCTGCCGTGGAAAACTGGGCGCGCACGCGCAGTCCTGCGACGCGGAAGAAGGTCACGAAGGAGGTTCAGCCCTGGCTCGCGGCGCAGACGAAGGCAGTGCTTGCGTCGCTGAGGAAGCCCAGCCAGTCTGAATGCGGCACGCTCGTGGACGCCGCCAGGAAAAATGGTGGAATAGCTTTCTTGAAGGAGCAGTAAGTGCAGTATAGTCTTGTCCACGGCTGCACGCTGACTGTTACACAGGATGTTGCCCCAGCTGCTCGCTGTCGCAGACGGCCCGTTCTTCGTCGACTTCGCCCGGGCAGTGCACACCGAAGCAGGTTTTGAAGAGCCGTCAAAGAGCGATGCCACTCGCGACTTACTGACGTCCGCAATCTCTAAGACAGAATTCTTCCGTCCTCCCGCGAAGCCGGGTCCCACCATGACTACCTGGCCGCCTCGTACGAGCTCTCCACCAGCCGACTATTGCGAACGCGCGAAGCAGTACGTTGCAGCGTGCGCCGACGTCGGGTGTGGCGACTTGGTCGGGAAAGTCTTCACACGCATTGTGGAGACAAGTTCCCAGCACAAAGGAGACGATGCGCATAGATTCGCACGGGAAGTGATGGTGCCTGTCGTCATGTTTTTAGCGCAGATGGAGAAGCCAAGCCCTGATAAAGTGAGACCCGAAGGATTCGAGGAACTACAGAAGAGAGCTGTGATGTTATATTTGGAGTGGATTGGAACTTCACAATATAGTACCTCGGAGGAAGAGGTCGGGAAGGTTCTGGACGCAGCCGTCTTGGACGACGGGAATCCGGATGTATTCATGTCGATGTAAGTGAGTTCTCCTTGCGATAGACTGCAACTGACCTGTTGATCATACTTACCAGCGTGGTACCTACGCTAGAGACCGCGCAGCTGCCCGGTCATCGCATTCGCCAGTTCGTTGACATCATCCGCACACGGCTGCACAACCGGCTCCAGTTTCCGGAGGGCTACAAAGGCCGTACACTCGAGCAAGTTATATATTCCCTCGCCCGCCGCCATATCAAAACGCTCTATCTGCGCGATGCTCGGCAAATTATTGATTCGCTGACGTGGGCCAGTTTCATTCACCGCAAACTTGCGCAAAAGGTTCTGGATCGGTTACTGGACCCACAGCAACTGTCACCGTCGCACATTAAACAGGTGCTCGTTCCGCTCGTCCCACAATTGCGCGCGTGGGGCGCGCAAAGAGGGCAGCTCGACTTTCTCGCGGGGACGTTCCAGCAAATTGCGTCGGCATGGGCAGACAAGGTGCTCAGCACGCCGCCAGCGGCTGACATCCCACTACAGACTGGTCTGGACGGCCTCCGCGGGTGGACGTGTTCATGCAGGTACTGTGTGGCGGCAAAGACCTTTCTTTCACAGCAAGTCGGACAAGAGATAAACTACAGTCGTATTGGAGCCGTAGGCAGAAAGCACCTCGAAAAGGAGCTCACGTTGCACGCATCGCGGATTGCGACGTGGCAGGCGATCCGGACGACACCGCAGGGTCTGCGTGTGAGTCGCCACTCTCAGTTTGGCCTTGATACCTGGATGTATTCACAGCCATGAGTAGATTCGCAAGACGGATGCGCTACACAGATATACAGCGTGGAAAGCCGAGCAGGCCACTGGACAGCAGATGCTCCGTGACATCAGCAGCGACGATGCTGAACTACAGCGGCTTCTGGGCGCGCAGTATGCTCGGATTGTGGAGCTAGTGGGAGGCAAGCCTGCAGCGCCTCCGCCGATGGCACCCTCCGCGCCTGCACCGGCGCAGGCAAAACCGCTCGCCCGCCGGCTGTCAGCGGCCAAGCTTGATGGCTCACTGCCTGTCGCCGGCAGCTCGCGGGCGGAGAGTGGTATGAACGCTGGCCAGTCCGCTTTGAAGAAGCGAAAGATGGTGTATGATCCGAACGGTACCATTGATCTCACGTAGCTATGCAGTACGCATACGCGTTGATGAGATAAGAAGCGATTTTGCTTTGAATACAGCCTCGTTGCATAATATTCCGTAGAACTAGAAATGTCGTATATGTGCAGCCTGCTTTGGGGGAAGGGTGTACAGGTCTGCAAGTCCACGACGCGCTGATGCGACGCGTATAGTATGGTGGGCTACGTCAAATCGGAGCTGTACTTATCGTGGCACCGACCAGGTTTTCAGTCCAGAGGCGGACGGGCACTTTGAAGCATGCAGAGTAGTACTACTTCTAATAATACTATCCTTCGTCCTCGAGCACTTAGCGTATGCGTGTCTATCATGCGATACACAGTATAGAGAGCTTGTGTATGGCGAATGGTATGCTGCAGGGTAGGTACTCGGCAGTTGGACGGAATATACCAAAGAAAACAGCTTTCTCAAGATTTCGTTTTGTCACCCAGTCACACCGCGACGCGGTCCCGTGACCTCTTCATACTGTGACTGACCACACACGCGTTTCAGCTTTAAGTCGTGTCTGTCACCTACTTTATGCTCTACACTTGGTAGATTATCTCACGACATCTACATTCACATACATACCAGCAGAAAAGCATTATAAGTAAGTGAAAAGCGGCGTTCTGGTCAGAATATCTGGCTGATTCCCGCATTACTTTCCGCAGAACTCAAGGAGCGCGGAAGCATGAGCCATCCTCTACCGTACTCTCTGGTCTGCAATCTATCCGCTACTTCTTGCTACGTACGAGAATTACTCAATGACAATAAAAGCAAACGCATTCGCAAGGCGAGCTTTTTATGAAAGCTGAGGAGCATCGTCATATGCCACGAAGCGGCACTGAGGGCGTAGCTCCGGCGGCACAGAAAGAAGAAAACGATAAGGATGGAATGCACCAACGTAGAGGTAAATATGAAGAAGTGGATATGCTAGATGGTAGTGAGGAGGACAAGGAGGGCAATGGGCATGGTGACGTCGAAAATATCCGCGTAAGTCGTGCCAACCGAGAATATTGCATGTCCACTGACCCAAGATTAAGCAAAAGTTCGGGGAAGCATTAAACAACTATAAACATCAAGGATCAATCACATTTCACGACACCTACTCTGATGCCCCAAACCCCGGTCTACAAGTGGCAGACTTGGGCCTGCTGGGCCTGCCCTTGAACTCTCGGGAAGCTGAAGTGTTGAAATCACGCTGCAAACCCGCGTCGTTCGGAATTGGGGAGAGAATAGATGCGAATCACGATGTACCGCATACATGGGAGCTCGACGCGACCATGGTGAGTAGTATCGACGGCATGTATTCCGAGTCATCGTTGACCACAATACTCCTGGCAGGTGGTCTTTCAAAATCCCAGTTGGACTTCCTTTATGGAAAAGGTTGTCAAAGAGGTCTGCAAGGCACTCGGTGTGGATGTCAATGCAAGCGAACCGCGATGCGAACTCTACAAGCTGCTTCTGTGTGAGACGGGCTCACAGTAAATATGTCCAGATTATTACTCGTATGATCTTGCTGAGAGCCGCACAGAATTCTTCCGCACGTCGAACCTGAGAAATCCCACAACACTTTCGCAACCGTCGTCGTCGTCCTCCCCTCTCCATTCGCAGGCGGCGCTACACAGCTCTCGCATGACCGCATCTCGACAGTATACGACTGCGACACGACAAGCCGCTTCAACACAAGCGTTCTGGCGTGGTACACTGGTGTCAGGCTCTCCCCCACGCCCATCATTTCAGGCTTCCGCCTCGCGCTCTCGTATAACCTCGTGCATACGAAGCAGACCCCGTGCCCCTCGCTCTCGGCGAGCACATGGGCTGTGAGTGAGCTGCACAAGCTCTGCCGGCTGTGGAATGCAGACGAGGGTGCGTATACACCCGAAAAGCTTGTATATCTTCTCGAAAACAGCTATACGGATGTGAACATGCATGAGGATGGGCTCACCGACACGGATGCACGCTGCGTCGCGCTCCTCAATGACGTAGCGCGTGAACATGGCATTGGGCTCGGCCTTGCACGCGCGCCGTGCCGCCTAATAGGTCCCTGCAATGAGGAACAGCAGCAGTAGAGGGACGACGATGAATACGAGTACGACTCGGATGAACGCTACTACAAGCCATGGCGCTACCCCGATTCGCGCAGGCGAAACAAGAGCCCAGTCAGCGTCGACCATGATTGGACCGAGATTCATAAGCGCGAAGTGACGCTCGAACGATTTGTCGACCTTAAGGGGACACTCATCGCGGAAGCACTTTATCATGATGACGCTGAGACGTTCCCGAAGGACCTTACGGAAGACGTGGAGGAAGTTGAAGGCTACGATGAGGAGGAATGTGAAGGGTTCGAAGGCAACGTGTCTAGACGCCCTTTTTGTTTTTATTCAACCTGACTGCGATACATGTATTCGCCTCGTAGGTACCCTCACACGACGTGCGTCGCTTGCACATAGATTGACCTCCTCCGCCTCTGATCTCTTCTACCTGCAGATTACCGTCGTTCCGTGCTCGTTATCTGGCCACGTTGGAGCACCTTCTCATTGCTCTACAGCGGCGAGAACGGGCTGCTCCGCGCATGCACGGATCTCGAAGCCATTCAGACCCGTACACCAAGCGACGACGAGCGCAGCCTCGCTCTCGACGTTCTTTTCTCTCCTCAACTCCCACGCCAGGCAGCACGCGTCGCGCAGGCCGTAGCCGACGTCGCGTGTCTCTGGGGTGACATGGCGCTTTGGGTGCGCGCCGTGGAGCGGTGCTGCCCTCATGCCGGGCTCGCGACGCTCGCAGATGACAAGAAGTTTGCGGCTCTGGAACGCTTCGGGTGGCAGGCCGTATGTCCGAGGTATGCTCATGGCGACCCTCTAACGCGACAGTATTTGCTGACGGTGATGCATAGCTTCGAAATGATGCTGCACTACGAAAAGCGCAACGCTCCTCGAATCGAGTTCCTGCATCGCTTCCCTCCGCGGATCATTTTGCAGCACATCGATCTACTTCAAGACATAGAGCTATGGAAGGCAAAACGCATTCGGCGCTCGCTGGAAAGCTTGAGGAAACCCGAGAAAGCCGAGTGCTGGATACTGCTTGCCACTGTGCACCAGTATTACGGACTCACGTTCCTAAGTGAAGTGTAAGTGCACGACTAGACGTTCGAAATGTTATTCACTGACTATCCTGCAGCATGCTCCCACAGTTGCTTGCGCTTGGCGACAAGGATTTCCTGGAGGACTTCGCACGGCAGATCTTTGAGAGCCAGCTGTTCATGCCCGAGGCAGACAAGCGCGCGGTCGTAAAGAAACTCGTTCAGGCAGCTGTCTCGCAAGCAGTATTGTACCACTCAGGAGGCCCGAATGACCAAATCGCGGCATCCAAGGAGTGCATCCAGATGTGTATCGACTTAGACTGCGTCGATCTCGCTTCCATTGTCCTGGACCGCGTTATTAAACTCTCCAAACCTCCCGCGAGTGACGCACAAGAGTATTCTCGGACCGTCATGCGGCCGTTGCTGATATGGTGCGTCGAGTTACAACAAAAAAAGCCGGAAGATTCTCCACGCGCGAGCCTCGAGACACTCCAACACATGGCTGTCAAGCTGTATCTGGACTGGCTCTCGGCATCCCCCGCGGGATTCACTAGAGCACACGTAGCGACTCTTATCCGGATGACCGTGGTAAATGGGGATCTTACGCGGTTCGTGGAAATGTGAGTTCAATGTCAAGCTCTTGACGCTCGCGGCATATATTGACGTCTCGCAGTGTTGTTCCTCAACTTAAGAACATAGCATTTCCTTCAGAAGGCTCCAGAGCTGTCGCTGAGGAGCTGCAGGCACAGCGTGTCCAATTTACACTCCCCGAAGGACACCAGAGCGAGACGCTCGACGCCGTCATAGCGCATTTTAGTGCAGCATATATCGCGTCCTTCCCTCTGGAACACCACACCGATATCATTCGCGCGCTTGATTGGTGCCTCGCGATGGACGCGTCCGCACTGTGCGCCGCGCTCGTCCAGCGTCTCACAAGCAACGTATGCGTCGGACACAACGTCGTCGTTTCGGGCGTGCTCCTCCCTTTGCTGCCGTCGCTGCGCGCTTGGGGAGTGGCTCACGACATGCTCGATGCGTTGGCGCCAGTCTTCGCCCGCACGCTCGCTGTATGGACCGACCGCGTGCTGGCGCCTCTCGCCCCCGCGAACCCCCTGGTCACTTCTATTCAACTTACGGGCCTCACCTACTGGATGTGCGCCTGCAACCCGTGCGCGCAGGTGCGCACGGCGCTGACACAAAGCACAGAACGTGCGATACGGCTCGAGGGCATCGGCGGCGCCGCGCGAAAGCATGTCGAGGGCAGACTCGCTGCGTTCGCGCCTGCGCTAGTGACCTGGAGTCTCGTTCGCGGTCAGCTGGAGGGTCTTGAAGTGAGTCGACATGTTTTCCCCTCCTGTCTTGCTACTGATGAGCGCCGTGGGACAGATATGCAAAAAGGATGAGCTGCACCGTTTCGTGTGCTGGCGGAACGAGCAGACGCATGGGCTGGGAATCTTGAGGAACATGGGCTCAGACGACGCGGAGCTGCGCAAGTTGCTTGGCGAGCAGTACAGCCACATCTTCGCTGCCCTGAAGAGTGCGCCCGCTCATCCCGCCGGTCAGGCAGCCATCAACTCGGCTACTGGGAATCCTCGACCTCAGCCGCATCACGCAGAGGCTCAGGTCTCAAATGCTGTTACCAGATCGGCAGCTGAGGCTGATCAGCGTCCGGCGAAACGGAGGAAGACGGCTGCAAATGATATCGTTGATTCGACATAGGTACTAGTTGATGTGGCGCAGTAGTGCTCTGCTTGTATTTAATTAAGACTGCCTCGAAACAGAAGCGAATAAAGTCTTGTAGGTCGTTCATGGCGCGGACGTGGCTGGTAGACCTGTCATGTCGCTCCTGCATTCGCCGTGTGATCCTACAAATGGAGCGGTGCAATGCGGACGCTGCATATGTGAGGGTGTGCGTGCTTTGCTTATCGTCCGGAGGCTCAGACAAATTCAAGTCGAAATATAAGGAAGATATGTACAAACAGAAGAATAAGTTTGGTTTAGTGTTTTTACGGATGCGGCAGAGCCATTTGTTCCAACACTCTCGGCCTCAACTATCAAGAATCAGGTCATCTTCATCGATCGATTTACAAACACAGATCAGCTCCTCCACGACGCTCCTAAGCCAGGGTTTTGCAATACTGTCGGTGACTACAGAGTCGTTGAGTACGAGTCTCTGCAAGCGGCTCTCCGGCCTGATCTGCTGCCTCTCCTTGAGACACTTCGCGATCTCCGCTACGCAGTGATATCGATCGTAAGACACGAACTCGGATAGTTTCAGTTCCTTGAGATTCGGAAAGAGGATGACGTCTTCCCTTTGTGGGGCCAACTCGCAGAGAAGCTTCTGGCATAGTTGGCCATGAACGGACAAAGTGCGAAGGTTCCCGGCCTGTCCGAACAATGTTGAGAACTGCCAGATGGGTCCATAAGGCGGTGCGGAAATAAAGTCAAAGTGGAGGAAGAGATGCTGTGGATCGCCAAGCGGGAGGCGCAGACACAGGGCGGAAATGATTGCGACAACACGCGTCTCTTCGGAGATACCGAGTGACAACATTGGTGGTGAGCGGGTGATCGATATGGGTTTGGCTGCTGGCAGCAACAACTGTTTGCTCATGCCAGTCAAGAACACGTTGTACTCTCCTGTTCTTTCCAATTTGGCTCGCTGAAGATATAGGGTGTGCAGCAGCCTCGGAGGAGTGAACGCTACCGATGCTGAAAATGTGGAGACCAGTGCTGAAGTGAGGAGTTCAGACTCCGAGATTTCCCGTTCATCATGACCGAGGAGCATGACGTGCACCGAAACTCCAACAGGAAGGGAGAGATTACTGACTGGCAGTGCCGTTTGCCCTGCGTCTGCGTTGTTGCGGCTGGCCACTTGCAACAAGCGAAGTTTGGGAAGAGCAATGGGCGTTGTCAGTAGCTGAGGTGGGGAATTCAGGACTTTGAGGCTCATAAACATTTCCGAAGAGATTATCAGAGGACCCTCAATAGGCAAAGCTCTTCGAGACAAGGGAGTGTCCTCAGTGCGCCGAGGAGGACATCCCACGGCTGTCGTGGGCACCCATGCCACTTAATCTCATAAAATCGAGCTTCTTCAGCCTTGCGGTAAAGAGCATTGAGGCGAGAGTGAATGGCACACTCATGATCTCAAGCTCCTCGATCAATGACTCGTGGTAGCGAACCCCGTCAGGCACAAGAACAAGTTGCTTGCCTTGGCCGTAAAATGCGTTCCTGGGTGCCTGGAGCCTGAGTCGCTTGAGCTGGGAGGATGCAAATTGTTTAGAATGCATGATAGGACGGAGGTCATTATCCACGCCATCCCTATACTCAATAGACATCGTTTCGATGCGATGCGCGTGCCCGAAGACAAGGGACCATGTGTGGGGGCTAGCTATGCACTTGACCTTGTCTTCGCGGTGAAATTGAAGTCTGCCAAGGATGGAAAGCGGTGCTTCCTGGGAGCGTTCGAGGTATGCCTTGACTGAATCTATCGGGTCTGTTACACGGATCTTTGTCCACAGCACCGGTGCATTCAGCACAATTACCCGCCAACACCTGCAGACCCAGGAAATAGTCATCCAGCCATGGTCATCATTGGCAGTCCGCATTGCGTCTGAAACATTGTGGTTAATTGGTGACCATGGATCGTGCTCTGCCATTCATTTTGAGATGTGCAAGATGAAGATCTCCAGAAGGATCTCATCAGTTCTTCAGAGACCTCCTGAGCGCGACGCAGAAAAGTTCGAAGCTCTTCCTCTTTCTCCTGCCTGGCCTGCGGCGATAGCAGCCGGCCATGTCTTGGTGGCATGTTGTAGGAAAGCTGAAGTTAATGCTCTGTTACAATGAGCGTCAGGCGATGCGGATCATGAGGACGTCGGCATACCTGAGGTCGTCTCCTCTCGCCGACGAGGTTATACAACCAAGTACACAACTAGTGTCAATTAACGTGGTCGCACTTGCCCCTTCGCAGGTCTCAAAAACGGTAGAAGTGGAGGGGGCAAGCGCGGGGGAATGCAGAAGGACACGAGCTGAATATCCATGACCCCGAGCACTTCAAGGACCCCAAGACCGCTATGGCCACTTATGCGGATAGTTGGTTCGGCGCGAAGAAGCAATGTCACTGCACATTATATACATCATCTGCTATATGACTTGCAGAACGTAAACACAGCTGAAATGGAGAAATACAGTTTATGTCAAACCAATAACCTTGTCAGGATTTTAGTGTCGTTTTCCTCCGCTTTGCGGGCGGGCCAGTGAGACCGGCCTCAGAATCAACAGAGGATCCTGAAGGCTGGATGCGGGACTGAGCCCAGGACCTCATTGCTTGGGTCATTTCGAGAGGCTGTGTTTCAGCCCACAATGTGAACCGGGCCAGAAGACCGAGGCGTGAGGCGTTGCGCTTCTCATGATACA